CACAGAAAATTAAATTAGGATCGGTCGGTTGTTGGGAAAAACAGTCTAAACGAGAATTGAAGATCTCATTGATACCTACCTGTCGATCTAAAGACAATCAATAACGGATATTGCATGAGAGAGTTATGATTTTTATACGAACTTTAACAGTATAAGCCTGTTAAAAATATAGCTTTAAAAAATAAAGTGTGAACTAGCTGATGGAATCTAAACGAAATATGTACATCTCGTTGATAGCTACGTGTAGATATAAAGAACGTCGAACACGGAGCTCGTATGAAAAATATATGATTTTTTGAAAAATCAGAAAATCCCACGTGCAGATGTGCTCGCCGACAAGGTGAACGACATGCACTAACACACCACCAGCTTGCCAACACGTGTCACCACTCAGAAAACGACACGTCATCACAACCAACCAAGTGCATGGTGCGTATGCTGGAATTCACCCTATAAATACTGGATCAAGCTTCTTCATTTCTCACACCCATTTTTGATACATTTCTTTTTAAATTCGACCTCTAGAACTACTTTCGGGTGTCTGAGGAATTCTTTTGTAGTGAGACCCTAAGGCATCTGAGAGCCTGGTGGAGTAGAAGTGCTCAGTATTGAAGTCATGTTAGCACAAATCCCAGTTTTCGCTAGAAACTCTTTGTAAGTTAGGCTACACTTACTACGCTTTGAAGTGTAACTTATGATTATATTCACAGTCGTTGTTATGAATATATAAATAATATTTATCAGTAATTCCAGTCATTATGTTAATTGATCTACTTACGGGAGAGGTGTCTAGAATGGTCACGTTGGCTTGGTTGTTGGATTTCAAAAAGACTATATGTTTAAATGGTCTTGCCTCCCAACTGTCTGGCCTGGCTGATCCTTGTTTGATAGAACTCTCAGTATTTGTTAGGATTAGTGAAAGATCTAACTTTCATTACCATATTGTCATAAGGATTAATAAGTAATAATATTATAGGTTAATACTCGTTAGGCGGTTTGCCCACTAGTGGGATCGCCCAGGAAGTTGTTAATCTTTTGAGAAACTATCCAGGTGTGTTATCTCACTATACCATGTACTATAATATATATCCATGTATTTTAGGATAGGGAACGAGTAGAGTAGAGCTAGTAGTATAATCTCTATGTGCTTAAGTGTGATCTGGTAAAGTAGAAAGTATAAATGTGCATGTATTAGTAGAATCTAAAGTGCATTCTCTATATGCATAATTGTTGTGATATTAGAATTAGGTAGGGTTTGATGGTGGAACGGTTAAAGAGGCCAGGAACCTATAGACCCACGTAGATTTAGTTGGGCGATGAAGATGGAACGGTTAAAGATGTAACACCCCGTTTCGAATCGTTTCATAATTCGAGGCTGTGACCCGAAGATCGGTTATCATAGGGCTTCGGGCCCTGGGGGAAATAGATGTTTATACCCATTTGGTTGTTGATAATGTAGGTTGTGGGTACCGAGAGTTCGGATTGTGCTTTGGAGCCTAAGGGTATAATAGTAAACTGATGGTTTGGGCCTTTCTTTAATTTTGGATTTAAGTTCGGAGAGTTTTAAGGCAAATGAGAGTTGATAAGATTGTAGATCTTCTCATTACCTTTCCGTGGATATAAAGATCATCGAAAACGGAGTTGGGACGCAAAAGTTATGGCCATCGGAAGACTGATAGGTCGGGGGCTTGCCGAGTACGCTTGGCGTACAAGGAATGTACGTTGGGCGTACTTGGCTGGAGTAATCGCGAACGCTCCCTCGCGTACGTTGGGCGTACACGACTCGGTCTCAACCCCTAATTTAGGGTCTTTGACCCTATTTAAAGGCCTTAACTCATTCTCAAACCCTTTTATCTTCAGCCTCCATCACCCTTAACCCTAAATTCGAAACCCTAGCCTCTCTTATGTGAATTTCAAGCCTTGGTGTGATTTTTGGTGTACTTTGGAGAAGAGGGAAATCTTGTAAGAAGAATTTCTTGGCTTGGAGCTTGTGGATCCAAGCTCTAATCATCTTCATCAACTTCAAGGAGGTATAAAGTTTCTAACTTGATGACTCTATGTGTTAGATCTAGTCTAGGGCTTGTTTTGGGTTTGTTATGGTCCCTAAAGTCACCCTTGTGAGTATGAGCTACTCCAGAAGCTTAGAATGCTAGATCTTAACATCTCTAAGGTTTTTGGTGCATAAAAATGTCATCTTGATGGGTTTTGATGGATCATGCTAAAGTTGGTGTTCATAATTTGGGTTTAGATGGATAAAAACGAGTTTTGGGTCCCATTAAGACATGCAAATGAGTAAAGTTGTCAGCTTTATGGTTTAAGACCTTAGTTAGAGGTTAGATCTGGGTTTTGGACGTTTAGTCTGAAGCATTAAGTGTTGAATATGAAGTTTTGGTCATCTGATAAGTACGTTGAGCGTACGTATGCGTATGCTCAGCGTAATGCACGAAGTCCCCGTCCTTGAGCTTTAGCGAGTTGTACCTTGTGCTTCAGTGGGCCGTACGTAGGGCGTACAAGTTGGGTACGCAGGGCATATTCGCGAGGTCTTCTTTTGGGCCTTATAGGCCTTGGGTCTTTTGGAGTTTGGGCCACGGGTTATTAGATCATATATGAGAAGGGTAAAACGGTCTTTTACCCATTGGAAATATAGAATATGGTTTGAGACCTTGGATTTGGGAAATTGTATTAAATTATTGATTAGGGATATTTTGGTTGTGTTTAGTGTCAAGATTTCGGTAGCAACATCGCGTGTGATTCAGTTATCTCAGATTGAGGTGGGTCTTCACACTGTACCGTGGGTGGAAGGCACCAATGTCGGTCCACTAGGATTTGTTATGCTAGTTGTCTTTGTGACTCTCCATGGTATGTTGGGCTAGGCCCATTTTATGACGGGCTAGGCCCATTGGTATGTTGGACTGGGCCCATGGAACAAGAAGGGCTAGGCCCAATGTATGTTATGTAGGATGCTAGCTGTCTCTGTGACTCTTCATTTGTATGCTGGGCTGGGCTGGGCTCATTGGTTTGGAAGGGCCAGGTCCATTGGTATGTATGGTGTGTGGTATTTTGGGAAACTCACTAAGCTTTGTGCTTACGGTTTTATGGTTATGGTTTCAGGTACTTCCCGTTCGAAAGGGAAGGACTCGGCTTGATCGCAACGCATCCAACCATGTTTCCGCAACTTGATGATTTTGGGATTATACTCTGATAACTATTTTTATTATGATATACTTTTGAATTATTGGAAAAAGATAATTGGTGTTTCTGGTTAAATAAAAATGAAATTTTACCTTATAATGTTTGGGACGTTACAAAAGAGGTCGGGAACCTACATGCCTGCGTATTCCAAGATACACGTCTTATTTGCATATCGCAAGTCATTGTTTGTATGCATGTATATGTATTGTGGTATATGGTATTTTGAGGAACTCACTAATCCTTGTGTTTAACCAGTTGGATAAAAATATTTTTCAGGTACTTCAGTGATTCGTGAGAAGGGATTGTACACACGCGCATTCGCAACATGTTTTTCCTCACAATGTAATCATACTCTGATATATTTTAATAAAAAAAATGAAAATTTTGCCTTGAAAATCTGGACGTAACACCCATCATGTTCTTCGTAAAGACTTGACGGAACATATGTGGACCGTTAACACATCGATCTTAACGCGGAACCGGTCGATGATTTAGACGGTCAATTTTCCAATGAAAATGTCCTTTAGGTCTATCTAGGTTCGGTAATTTTAATTTCCTTGTTTTGTATTTTTAAATTCTATGTTGTTTTTTTGGTTTGTTTGTTGTAATTTTCTTTGAAGTTTAATGAAATTTTAGTTTTAAAATATTTTTGTTAAATTGATTATTTTTAATATAAATTAATTTTTAAAAAAAATAACATGACAATTCACATCCTGTATATGGCAAAATTTTGATGCAGAATGATAAATCTTAGGTGACGTCTACATGGACTCTGGCAAACGTGTCACCACTTCCTCCAGCCCAAATGACAAAATTTTGATGCTGTGTAGCAAATCATAGGTGGCGCCTATATGAATTCTGGCAAGCTTGCGACCACTCCCTTCAGCCTAATAATGCTACAACAAAAACTAACCCCTAAACTAAACCGCTATTTGTAGAAGGCCGCTAATCGTTATAGTGCACGATTAATTTGCATAGATGGTGACGAGACAATTAAACTTTATAATACTTCAAAGAAACAGAAATGAAACGGTATCTCCGGTAAGAGATTTGAAAAGTATATTTGGTCCATTTTTAGGATATATGTCTATTAAAGAATTTAGTAATTTAGAAATTTTGGCTCCATGGAAGAAAAAAGGAACCAAACCATAATTTTTTTTATTATAGTCATTTTAATATCGAAGGTTCTATCGTAGCTTTAGATTATGTTTTTTTTGTTAGTGGCAAAGGAAAATGGTAAGGAAAAATAAATATGTACGTATTTGAATGATGACATGGAATGGATACAAAATATCATTTCGCTTGAATACAAAATTAAGCGTTCAAGATATACATGAAAGAAGAAATTGCATTAGAAATATCAAATGCAATGACCAAGCTAGACGAAGACGTCGACGACCTAAGACAGCGAAGAAGACAATTTTACGAGTATACAAATACAAAACGAACATGGCCAAAAGACAATCCTATTTATAAAATATATTAAATAAATAAATATTCCCATTAACATCAATTTATATAAATAACACAAGAAATCAAAATATAGTACACTCCCCGACCACCGTAGAATAAAATAGTTCCCAAAGGCCACCGACTCTGTTTTCACATCACACGCTGTGATTATTTACTAATTTGTCGCTCCAATTTCCTCCATAGCTGTACGAAATTTCATTTTTCTTTTCTACTATTTTAATTTTTAAATAAACGACAAAACTGCAATCTGCTCATCAACTGTTTGTGTTTATGCATGAATGAATGAGCTTAAAGTCAGTTCCCGAAAGAATTACCTGATCAGTAATTTTCCTGGCCTACTCAACTGTGCAAGAATTCATCAGAGAAATCGGCTTATTGATGGCCTTGATTGGATTGTAAACAATGGCACACGAAACCTTTTTGTAGAACTTGGGTTTCACCAACTTACCTAACACGTAAGCTTTAGCTTTCACCGTGAAATTTAGGTTCAGTGGCAACGGCGCTGTCAGTTTTCCGTTCTCGCTGCTCCAGTTCAGTCCGCCGCCGTACAACGGCACTCGTACACCTCGCACGTTCACACTCACTATTCTGTGACCTTTTCTTGATTGATAAAATTTCTTCACCTGTAAATTAATACCCATTTGAGTTTAGATAGATTTGAATAACACACACAAATCATTTGAAACTAAAATCATTGGAGTAGTTGAGATTTTGTTACAGTTCCGGTGGCCAGAGTCAACTCGGTGTATGCGAGATCGAGTGGTGTGGATGATACATGAACCCCAAAGAAGGTTCCACGGTTGCGAAAATTGAACTTCACGGTGGCGTTTAAAGTCACCATCTCTGTAGCAACTCCAGATGCATCTGCCCCAGCATTAACTGCAAATTGATCGAATGCGATACTCTGCAAAAGTGAAAAGCCCCACAGTGATGATGAAATTTAATTACATACCGAATTGATCTTTGATCCAATCAACTACGAGTATAAATCATATGAGATCGAGTAACATGGATTTTGTAATCAATTGAACAGATTAGAAATTAGAGTTGACGATTTAGTGATTTACCCTCATGGTGATGACGGGCTTCTGAGGTCTGGCAGCGCCCCAGAGAACGAGAGCGAAAAAAGTGAAGAGAACGAAGAAACCGACAACGAACGCCAGAAAATAACACCGGCGAGGAATCCCCCGATGACCAACTTCATCGTTGTATCCTTCTTCCTCAATCGCATCAAATCCCTTTTCTCCTTTCCGGTGATGTTGATGTTGGCTGCCTTTCCTCGATCCGGGTCTGAGGGAGCCGGAATATCTGGTGGAGGAAGAGTTCCGGGATTGACGGCCGGGTGATCCACTGGGGCTGAGCACAGGCGTTGAGTGAAAGGAGTTGGTGGTCTTCTCTCCGTCGTGGGAGTCGCGCGATGGACTCTGGACGTAGTACACCGGCCGCCGCGGTTCAGACCTTGTCGGTGACGACGCCGTCAAACTCGTCACCTCCGAATCTGTCTTTGCGTGCATCGACATTTTCCTAGAAAGCTTGGTGAGTCGGTAATGGCGATATTTGTTGGATTTTGGTGAGGAGATTTGACAGAGAAGTACGAAACTGAAAAAGAGGAAAAGCAAAGTCGATCTACTAGAACTGCAGTGCACAGTGCCCAGTGAGACAGAGTCTCTAAAAATAGAGTGGAATATGGGGTTGGTTTGAAGATTTGTACGTTGGTGGCTTTGTTTATTAATAGGAACAAAGGAGGCCAGGAAGAAAGCAAGCCATGTTACCAAATATTGTAGTCAATGGATCAAAATAAACTTGTAGGGAACCATTAGAAGTTAGAACTATCATTTAGGTACATCGACATACCATCACACCAATAACATTTCAATCACACTAAAATATTGTCGCTCTAAGAGTCAAATTATCATCATTTTTCCACTAGTTACCTAGGATATACTTATCCTTTCATATCACCATTCGATTTCTTGTATTTTTTATACATGTTGTATTGTACATTGGTACACATACAACAAAAAAGCAAACTAGCCTCAAGGCTCACGTAAAGGGATCACTCACTTACTTAACTAATTCGAGACCATCCCCTTCACCGAAACTAATTAGACGGTCAGAACACCCTCCCAGAAAGTGTGATTGCAAATTCTCGCTGTAAAAATTGTTCATCCAAAGACCATCTCGGAGATCAATATCACATTATATATATATATATATATATATATATATATATATATATATATATATATATATATATATGAAAAATTAGATATATATCCTAAACCCACTGTACTATGTCGTTTTGTATTATATATGTATTGTAATCGTACAAAGTTCTTAAAATTCAACTCCTAATTTTATTTATTTCCAAGATTTTTAGAAATATTGTTATTATATTTCTCTTACATCACATCTTTTTGTCGAACACCTACCAGGATATATATATATATTATAATTGCAAATGAAAATTATATATTAAAAAGATAATTGTGAAATTGCTAAAAATCTTGGAAGTAATCAACTTAGGAGTTAAATTTTAAGAAATTTGAACGATTACAATGTATATATTATACAAAAACGACGTAGTGTGATGAGTTTGGGTACCCAAACTTATATATTTTCTACGGTACATCCACTTTTC